CAAGGAGCCCGATGTGGGACTCAATCCCAGGACGTTGGGATCATGACCTGAGCCGAAGGCAGATCCGTAACTGACTGAGCCACCCAGGCATCCCTCAAATCTCATCTTTTAGATGAGTCTTCCCTGATCACCCAATTTAATATTCTGATCTACCTTCCATTCCCTCACTTCACACTTCTAATTCCTGCCTCTATACAGGAATTAGACTATACTCCACTTTTTCCTTCCATAGAACTTATCTTGTAACTAGATAATGTACTTACTTACTATGGTGATTGTTTATTACATATATCTTATCATGGCATTTTGTTCATTTTGCTTAGAACAGTGGTTCTCAAAGTATGGTCCGTGGGCCATCGGCATCAACATCACCTAGGAACTTGTTAGAAATGTAAAATTCCACACCCTACCCCAGACCTAGTGAATCAAAAACTCTGATGGTAGGACACAACAATCTGTTCAACCAGCACTCCAAGACACACACTCAAGGTTTAGAATCACTAGCCTGGAGCAATGCGTAGCACAGAGTAAGCACACAATAATAGCATGTTAAATAAATTTTAAAACCCTCTTTTCCTGGTAATTTCCCTCTACCCACAGAAGAGGACACTCAGCAATTCTACTGTAACACAGCTGACTGCCCCAGGGTAAGTGCCTGACTCAAACTGGGTGTTTTATAGCCCCCTCCGCAAAGCAAGCCACCCAAAGTGTGGTTCTGCCGTCGAGGCTAAAGGCACTACATGCACCAGGAGAATTTGAGAGAAAGTTTATTACTCACACAAGGCGCTCCCAGGGAGTGTTGGGCAGGCACAAGCAGGCCTGGGAAGGAATGGGTTGGGCCTTGATTAGTGGCTGGAGGTGGGGAGGGGTAGGAATGGGAAAAGCTGCTGCCACCTGGGAGATTTAAATTTCCTGTTAGCACCAAAGGTGAGCTCACAGACCTCCTATCAGCCTGCCTATGTATGGAACCAAAGGAAAAAAGAGGGGTGAGGTTTAAAAACAAGTCAGTGGTCAAACATCAAAAAAGATGTCAGACTCATTTTATATGGTGGGCCACTCAGAATCTCTTTCCTAAGAATCTAGAATTCAGATTAGGAGCCAGCCAGGCAGTCTCTGTTTATAGCTGAAATGGAGGGATATAAAAATGCAGGAGCTGGGGTGCCTGGGTGGCTCAGTTGGTTAAGCGACTGCCTTCGGCTCAGGTCATGATCCTGGAGTCCCGGGATCGAGTCCCGCATCGGGCTCCCTGCTCAGCAGAGAGTCTGCTTCTCCTTCTCACCCTCCTCCCTCTCATGCTCTCTGTCTCTCATTCTCTCTCTCAAATAAATAAATAAAATCTTTAAAAAAAAAATGCAGGAGCTGCCATTTTTCCTTCAGAGATGGAAAGTAAAGAAAGTCAGTCTTTAGAAGGAGAAAAAGAAGCAGATGTATACAGAGAACCAAAGGTATGAGACCTACAGTTGCCTGGAGTCCACAGCCTTCCCAGGGCCTAGCTGCATTCCCCCAAGCCAGGCTGGTACCCTTAACTTGCAATCGGAGTCCTAACTGAAACCATAAGTCAAAATTACCTAAATATAGGTTATTGTTGTAGTAATGAGACTGATAAAAAAGACAGTTCCAAGAAAGAAGAGATGACATCTAGCAGAGAACCTAGCACAAAATAGACAATAAATAATTCATCAATAAACACATGAGTAGAGAGAGTAGCAATATTCAGTTAGAGGATAAAAGGAAAAAGAAGAGTTGAGACTTCTTAAAGAGCTTTAAAAATGGGATGACTACCTTTAATCTGATAGATTTATTGTTTTTAATTTGGTCATAGACAAAGGGCAAATCTCTATTTATCAAAGAGTTTTGGTGAATTATTCATATATAAAGTGAAAAAAAAAAGTATGAATTTCATTCTCCTTGCCACCACTGCTATTACTGACAAAGCATTCCTGTCCCAGCATCAAACTCTACTGCCAATACTGATCATCAAGACCCACTGAGCAATACCAACCCAGGGAGAGAAGAGATGGCAGAGACATGGGCTCTAGAAGACCCGGGCCCATGTTAGAAGTTGAATATATGACTTCCTTGAACCTAGACAGAGCAGTAGAAAGGTATGAGCTGGTTCAAGGGTCAGGCTTACCATCTGATACCTAAGTAAAAGTAACTGTGGGTTACTTAATTACATGACCTCCCTGAGACACCCTTTCTCAAATAAAATGGCAGAGGAAGGATTAAATTTATCTCAGTTTCCTCAACTATAAAGTAATAATACCATCTCACTGAGTTATTGTAATAAACATAATAATGAATCTTTAAATACCTGGCACATAGTAGTTTTTAATTAAATGATATCCATTTCTTTTTCTCAATAAGCCACTGTTTCCACTCATTATTTGAGTAGTTCAATAACCCAGCAATATATGACACTGGGTCTTATATCCATTTTAGAGAGAGGGAAATTGAGACCTAGTAATTTGCCTAAAATCCTGCTCAGAGGTTTCTAATTTTCTACATTCTATATTACATTATCTAGACAGTCCTGACTGAAAGGGGAAAAATAAAAACAAAGGAAGCTATAAAGAGGGGGAAATTAGAAAATATATCATTCATAATCTTTTTTCAAACAATTTTCCAGATAATCTAAATTAATAGCTTTCTACATTAAGCAGAAACCTAGTGAAGATTCAACTGATTTTATTAATGTCTATAGAATAATGTTGAGTTGAAAGTCCAACCTAAAATTCCAAGCCAAGTTAATCATAGGCATTTAGTGAAATGTCTCTATTTCTTACTATAAAATATATATGATAATATTTTTTAAAAGATTTATTTATTTATTTGAGAAAGAGAGCAGGATAAGGGGCAGAGGGAGAAGGAGACGGACAAGCAAACTCCCCACTGAGCATGGAGCCCAATGCCAGGCTCAATCCCAGGACCCCGAGATCATGACCTGAGCCAAAACCAAGAGCCGGACGCTCAACCGACTGAGCCACCCAGGTGCCACGTATGATAATATTTTTTAAAGAACTAAATTATCCTGAAACTAAAAACTAACAACTCTCATGAAAAATAGATTGCAATTCCAAAGGAAAGGGACATTTCCTTGCTAGTACTTAAAAGCTTAAACTTGAGCTGTAAATTAAGTTTTACTAAGTTTACTAAGTAAGAAAATTTTGCTTCAGTCACTTAACATTATGAGAGAGAATGCTCATATACTGTCATAAATTAATATAGTACTGCAAATATAGTATCAATAATGAAACACTGGGCATTACTTTATGACACTTCTCATTATTCCAGCAGAATAGCTTAGACTTCGTTTTATTAACTTTTCAATGAAAGTTCTGCCAAATGAAACCCAAAAGTCAAACGTCCCTGGAGAAAAATTAGGCCTTGATAAAATATTCGGTTCCTCACTTTGAAATAACTCCATCACTGCAAATTAGGAAATATATTAGATTCCAAAGAAATAAAAACATCAGAAAACCATGAACCAATATGACATGCTAAACCAATGCTAGACAAATCCTAGCAATTCTCTCAATTTAATTTTCTTTGAAAAATATGATAATGTAAAATGCCACTAAGATCTTAGCTTATTATTCTAATCAACTATTAAGAGAAAAATAATAGCACAATAGAAACGTGATAAAATTTAAAATAGCCATCATTTCTAGAGCCAACAATAGGCTTAAAATTAAGATTCTCAAGACCTAGGTCAGTGTGTCACCTTTTCTAGTGTCCCATTCACTGGTGTTGTTTTAAGACAGGCAATCATTTCAGCAAAAATGTTAATTCATGAGTATATTCATAACTAAAAACATTAACAATATTTATTAAGTGCCTACTGTGTGACAAGTGAACTGGTTAAACATCATGCCTAATTCTATTTAATACTCATAATACCTCTGGGAGGTAGCTACTATTACTATTCCCACTTCATAGATGAAAGTTACTTGCTCAATATCATACGGCTAGTGTGAGGAGCTGGAATTTGAACTCAGATCTGTGTGTCTTTAGTAACTCAGAAATTTCACTTCTGTAAATCTCTCCCTCCAAAAAAGTAATCATGGATGTAGTAGACAGAGATTCATATACCGAGATGTACATCACAGCTTTGCTTATAATAGCAAAAGACTGGAAAATATCAAAATGCCCACCAGTAAAGATTATGAAGTAAACTACAATCTATCTGTAAGATGCAGTATCTTTAAAGGGGCAACATCTTTAGAAGATGTAGCTGTTAAAAATTACGCTATGAAGGAATATTTAATGGAATTTAAAAAATGTCAATTATATATTAAATGACAATATCAGGATAGGAAATAATACATATATATACCGTGATCAGATTATATATTATATGCATATGTATACATATAAATGTGTGTGTGTATAAGCGTATACACACACACACATGCACACAAATGAAAAGATAGCTCTGGATCAGGGTTTCCCAATCTTGGCACTACTGACATTTTGGGCTGGATCATTCTTTGTTATGGAGGGCTGTTGTTTGAATTGTAGGGTGCTTTTCAGCATCCCTGACCTCTACCCACTAGATGCCAGAAGTACCCTTTCAGGTTATGACAACAAAAAATGTCTCCAGACAGTGACAAATGTCCCTTGGGGGCCAAAATTACACCAAGTTAAGAACTGCTCCTCTGGATGATAGGATAAACAGGTAACATTTATTTTCTTCTTTGTGCATTTCAGTATTTTCCAAATTTCTAAAATTAAATTTAAAATTAAAATTAAATTTTTACAATAGCATTTTTTCCTGGATACATTTGTAATCCAAGAAAAAAAGTGCTATTGTAAAAATCAATCTCACTAAAAAGAGAAGGAATGATTCCTATTTTTATGAGACTAAATTGCAGTAATGGAAATATGTATAACAAGAGCTTTAGAATATCCACTGTGATTTTTTTCCCATTAGAAATTACTTAGTGACAGTTTAACAGAAAAAAAACATAGAGGAAAAAATTAGCAGAAATCTCTTCTACCTGCGTCAAGAACATCCGAGCAGTAACAGCAGAAAGAGGTGGATAAACCAGAATTGGTTTAGTTGTCTCTCCAACAGCATCACCAATAAGCTTCCCATTAGAAGAATAAGCAGCAATTGCAAAGACATATTTTTCATTGGTTTCTAAACCTTTCACTTCAAAAATGCTTTTACCATCAGCTGGTATCTGTTAAAAAAAAAACATATTTCAAGTTTATGTATGGAAAACTGAAGTAATGTGACTTTAAAAATATAATTAAATAACCCTTATATGTAAAAAATAAATAAAATAAAACCTCTGTATTTACTGTTGGATTTTAGCTATGATTTAAATTGAAATTAGAGAAATTCACTGAAATAATGACAATAGAAGAGGGTAAAAAAAAAACACTCAGTTGTCATTAATGAGACTTTTGGTAAGATTTCCTAACATTTAGAGGTTTTTTCAATTTGACATACCGCTTCTCCTGAGTTTGGGAGATGATTATTATTTAGCCTTACTTTTCCATAGCTCCCTTCCGCTTTGCAACCCAAAATGCAGTACCAGGAAACCTGCCGAGGAGAGAGATGAACCCATCATCTATAGTCTGTTTAACGAGGCATTCAATTTCTTTTATCAAGATGTGGCACTTGTGATGAACACCGGGTGTTGCATGGAAGCACTGAATCACTTCATTGTCATTGAATCACTTCATTGTACACTGTATGTAATATTACACTGTATGTTGACTAACTAGAATTTAAATAAAAACTTAAAACAAAAAACAAATACTTTTCCAAACACAAATATAGTTATTCAACTTTTAAAACATGGAATCTAACTAATGATGTACTATACGTTGGCTAACTGAATTTAAATAAAATAAATAAGATAAATAAAATAAAAAAACATGGAATCTAAGTTTACAAATACACTTAGGTTTAATCTCACAAAAATAAAGACAAATATAGGCCTCATTTACCTGGGACTACAAAGACTATTATTCACTATTTATTTTTTAACTACCATTAACTGAGCAGTTTCTATGTGCTATGTATTGCTGGGAAATTTACATAAACTTTCTAATATTTGCAACATTCCTATGAAATGGGATTACTGTGGTCATTTTGCTTTAGAGGAAATGGAGACACAGAAATGTTCAATAACTTGCCCAAGATCAGATAGTAGCATGATACTTGATAATTCTTAACTATAGAAACCAAAAGCAAAATGCAAATTCTACAGGAACAATCAAACTTAAATTTAATTAAGTGGTTAGAAATGGTTCTTCTGCCCAAGATGTCAAAATAATGGAGACTCCTCATAGGAATGAACTATTCTCGCTGTAAGGGAAAAGGGAACAAGTTGATACTGAGGGAATAGCATTATGAAGGAGTCATACTGTCCTGAGGTTGGGGTTGGGTGGGTTGTCATCACTGTGTTATTCTCTTTTCCACAGAGGCTCCACCTCCCAACATCTCAACACCTAAATGACAAGGAAGGGGCGCCTGGGTGGCTCAGATGGTTAAACGTCTGCCTTCAGCTCAGGTCATGGTCCCAGGGTCCTGGGATCAAGCCCCGTATCGGGCTCTCTGCTCAGCGGGAAGTCTGCTTCTCCCTCTCCCACTCCCCCTGCTTGTGTTCCCTCTCTCGCTGTGTATCTCTCTGTCAAGTAAATAAATAAAATATTTTTAAAAAAATGATAAGGAAAACTGGAAAGGGAGAAAGTAATTGTCTCTAAGAAGCGACTGCCTCTTATAGCTTAGCTTAGCTATTTCTTCCTCCAGGTCAACAGAAAAATCCTAATGGTGTCTTGTCTACATGACTAGTTCTCAACCCTGACTTTGCAGAGTCACTTTTTAAAATACAGTTTTCACAGAACCAACCATTTTTTAAAATTACATATGCCCAAGCCTGCCTAGCCTCAATGAATTAGAGTTTCTGGTACAGGTGTCCAAACCTTTGTGTCTACAAAGAAAACTGCTCAAGTAATTAAGGAGCACTTGACAAAGGTAGAACTCCAAGGAGAGAGACACAGCATTGAAAGAACTTGAAAGCTGGAAGCCAAAAGGGGGGAAAAGTCAGATGAATTTCAGAAGAAATTTAAAAACTAACTTTCCATGCAAAAAGAGTACCATTTAACATTGAGGGGAAAAAGGCAGAAAGATTATATGACTTAAATTATTATTTTCTCTAAGTTAAGCTCTCTACATAAACCAGAATTTGAAGGATAAAATTCTCTCTAAAAGCATTTTTAGAAGCAGGATTTATGTTTCTATTTTGTTCCACAAATAAAGCCATCTTAGTTTGTGTAACTATAAGGAGCAGTGTGAAATTAGAATCTACATAAGAGTAAAGACACCATGAACAAATCACCACTAACTTTAGAAGTAAAAGTTTATTAATAACATCAGCATTTTCAACTTTTAAAACAGATTTTAATGAAACAAATGCTTTAACAAGAGATTTTGATAAAACAAAAGATGTCTGAACCCTCTAACCAGAAAACTTATTTAAGCCCACAGCACCATCTAGTGTTGATGCATATGTAACAGAAGGTAGTAATTTCCTGGAGCACACAACTCTACTAAAGCATCATCTACATAAACTTCATATGATGTGCTAAGTGACAGGTCCTACAACTACAGGTCTAATATGGAATACTTGTATCTTCCTATTTCTAAGCATTATAAAATAAGATAAACTAGTCACTTATTTGAAATACAAAAAAAAATTGGGTTAAATAAACCAAAACATTTGAATAAAAGCAAAGAAAAACCCTTGGTAAGGCATCCAGTCTTAGTTCTATACTGAATTTCCAAAATCAGCAAATCCCCATTCTTAAATAGATCCAAACACAACCAAAATTGAACTTTAAAATTGCTAGCAATTGCAATAATGCATTTATGATAGCACAGTTCGGTGTAAGATGAAAGTTACTTCTATTTCCCCAACTATAAAACATTATAAAGGTGGCATTACTTCTCACTGATGTCCATATCCCATTAGTCTGAAGCTCCTCAAAGAATGGAATCAAGCTTTGTGATTATTTTTATATCTCAATTACCTCGCACAGAGCTGGACAGATAAGAGATACTCGATAATGTTCACTGGACAAAATTTATGAAAAAAAAATCATCAAATAATGTAATCACACTCTATACTATCGTTAATTGTTTTAAGCAAACTTTACTATATATGTTTAATATAAGATATGGAGGGACATCAACTAATATGCCAGGAATATTATATATTATCTCATTTAATTTTCACAGTAAACATATTTTACAAATAAAAACAATACCACCACCACCTCAAAAAGTACATTTAGATTTTCTAAGGTCATACTGTTAGTAAGTGGTGCAGCTGGAATTTTAAACCTGTATCTCTCTGACTTTAAAGCCTGTGCCCTTTCCACGATACCAAGTTGATAGATGTTCAAGCAGAATATCCTAAAGACAAAGATAAAACTTTTTTATACTACGGGCGCCTGGGTGGCTCAGTTGGTTAAGCGACTGCCTTCAGCTCAGGTCATGATCCTTCCCGGGATCAATTCCTGCAATGGGCTCCCTGCTCAGTGGGGAGTCTGCTTCTCCCTCTGACCTTCCCCCCTTCTCGTGCTCTCTCTCTCTCAAATAAATAAATAAAATCTTTAAAAAAAAACTTTATACTACATCAAAGACCCTGTTGTTGATCATCCAAAAGATGAAATTTAATATTTAAAATATAAATCAGACGGAACGCTTATGAGGACACTAAATCTCAAGTTAGAGTCACATTTAGGCCAAGTTCCAAGGCATTGGGGATGGGAGAAAGAGCTCATTCTTCAATAAATACATAAAGATTTATGACTTATAATATGGTTGGAATTGTCATTTGTTTACATTAAAAGAATGCCCATTTACTTGGAAGAACTCTGGGAAGAACATCTAAATTTGCTATCCCCAAATTTCCTCATCTCCATCACTGGCTCTGAGAGTAACTTCCATGCTCTTCAAATGCCCTATTCCAGTTCAGCTGAGACCTTCCCCATCTTGAACACACACTAGGATGTCAGCGTAGGACTATGCCATGATGACAAAGATACTTAAGAGACAAATTCTTCTCTACTGCTTCTCCTTACTATATATTTGAGTACAGCAAAGCTAGACAGAGCATGAAGGAAAACAGCACAAAGAAGGAAAGGTCTTGAAGAAACTAAATACAGTTAAGACATTACAATACTAATCCCAGTATTCAGTGCTTATAAATAAGACTATTCAAGTCCTAAGAGCAAGAAAAGAATCAATCATGATAGTCATAAAAGTACTTATGTTGCTTTGCCTGAAATAAAGATTATAATGGGCAACATACCTTAACATCTGAAATAAATGGAGCAGGTTTCAATGTCACAGAACAATAAGTTCGGGATAGCAGGATAGGTGGGGGAGGGGATCTGCTTTTCTTTCTTTTCGAACTTTCCACATATTTTTGATATGAATATAGGGTATTCTGTTCTGCTTCAGTCTTCTCAATTAAAGAATATGCTTCCTATAATAAAGTGTGAACATAGAAAAATACATTTCAAGATTTGAACTGCATTTATATTTGTAGAATTCTGGTAATGTTAAACAACATTATCATGCTATATGTAGCTTTTTGAGCCTCAGTGTTACACATATTTCAAGCATCGAATGATTTTACAAAAGTAAAAAATAGCTACTAAATAAGATTAAGTAAAATATAGCTATAAATTAAGTAAGGTAATGGAGTCATATTTATATACCTCGTATGTTCATCATCATTATATCAATATTAGACATTTCACTTTCATATCAAACCCTCTGAATATCTACCATCATATTTCAGTGTCCTTAAAAAATCCATAGCATGACCATCTACATTTATACTAAAGAACTGTACACCTACCCTTAATGTAACTTGAAATGTGACTCTCAAGTAATAAGACTATGTGATTTATGAAATGAGTATTATTGAAAGCTTCTTACTATCAGCAAGTAGAAATAAAAACACTTATTCTGTAAACCTGAAAGAAAGGCAATCCTTATTTCAAAAGGTAACACATTGAAGGACAACACACAAAACAAAAAACATAAAAGTCAGATCTGAATACTTCCAAAGAAAGTTTATCTGCAATAATAATGCATGTAAATGGGTTAAACTTGTCTTTTAAATTAAATTAAAAAGGCAAAGACTCTTTAATTGAG